TTTAAGTCACTTTAAGATAATATGTATTTATTTATTATGCATCAGCAAATTAATTCAATTTATTTTAAAGCATTACATATTGTTTTTACATTTATAATTACGAGAATGACAACTACTATTGCATGGTAATCTCATTTTTTTACATTTACAATAGTTTTTGTCACATGAATTTTTGCAATTGCATTTAACATTGTCTATTTGTAAAGAAGATTGCATAATCGATGCTTCTCGAATGCTTATAAGCATTGAAGGAATATTATTCAATTCGGGAAACTTGTCAGGACCCAAAGAAAGAAATTCATTAGCATTATATGTAACTTTAATAATGCCAGATTTGCATCCAAGTTTATATATGTCATTTTCTGATACTTTAAGAATTTTGCATAGGAGTGTTTTTCGGTCATTGTGTATTCTATCAATATTGGGAATTTTGATATACACTAAATCTCCAATGTTGTATTTGTTATTAAATTTTTTATTACACTTGTTAAGGTGTGATTTCATGTTATCATGATATCATTCGAGTGACTTTGTAGTGATGCTTCGATAAATTTTATGAGCTGATATTTTTTGAACATTTTTCCTATTCTATTGAGTATGTTTAGAGCTAGGTTTATTTAAAAAGGACTGCAAAATAAAAATAAATTTAACTTATACTATGTACGAAATTAATAAATATGTAATTACCTGAGCATTGATCCCGTATTGGTAACCATCAAAATAGTAGATTTGTGCCTCTTACTTGGACGAACATCAAGAATATTTTCAGATAATCTTTTACCAACTGCTTCATTTTTAGATAAACTTCTACCAGCCATTTCATCCTCAAGTAAACTTCTATCAACTAATTCATCTTCTAATACTTTGGTCAAAATGCTTTTGTTATCAGAAATCTATTTATATAATTTATTAATTATTAAAAAAAAATTTTTTTTATTAAAATAATAATATTAAATACTTATATTTATTGTTGCATTTTCTTTTTCAGTTACTATTTTGTTCAACTTCTCACCTAGCTTTTTATTTATTCTTTTATTTAATTGCTCGTCTAACCTTTCATATGTAATGTTATCCAATATTTCATCATTCATATCATCCAATGTTGCATTCATTATCTTATCATCCAATTCATTCTCTAATTTATTCTTCAATTCATTCTCCAAATCACACTTAAGCAATTGCTGTTTCTAAAAGAATTAAATTAAAATAAATAATAATTATATTTTATAAAAAAAAAAAAAACTACCTCAATGTTTAATGCTGTGGCTCCTAAAAGTGACTCTATGACTTCTTGCCGATCAAAATTATCTTGAGACTTAGATGGTTCAAACCAGTTCTCAAATAACTCATCTTCTGAATTAATATATTGATCTTTGATTTCTTTTAATATAATAAAATAGCTAAAAGGTTTTATCCAAATACTAATGCATATGGACTATTTTTAGTTTGTCTAGATGTTTGGATATTCATTGCATCTATGTATTGGTATTAAAAATATTAAATTAAAATTGATAGTAATAAAGTGCGTCATGTAATATTCCTAGTAATTTGTTATCCCTAGGTTCAAAAAAAATTAGAATTAAAATTTAAAGAAACAAAAAATCAAAAATTAATATTTACAACAGTATAAAGGCACTGCTTGAGACCAATCCTTTCTTCTGGTATCTTCCATCCACTTGGATACTTTTTGCTGAAAAACATCATTTGCACGTTCCACAAGCCCCTAGCTTTGTGAATACCTTGGACGGCCATTAATTATATGAACGTTGGGCCAAATAGTTAATAATTCTTTGATTATTTCTGCTGTGAACTCATGGCCATTATCACTTTGGAGAATGATTGGAGCACCAAAACAAACAAAAATATCGAAAAGAAATACAGCAACCTCAATTGGTTGCTTACTTGTTAAAGCCCGGGCCCAAGAATACCGGGTAAAGTGTTTACACATGTGACAAATATAATGGTAATTGCCATCAGAAATACTAGTCATACGAATCAAGTCGACCTGAACCCTATTGAGAAAAGCACTAGAAATTATCGGCTTTCCAGCCACTGGATTAGGAAAATTTCTTTGTGTTGCACATGTTGTGCAATTTTTTACAAATTCTTTAACAAAGGATTGTGAAATATAGCAATATTGTTCTGAAATCTGTTAAAAAAAAAAATTATTATATTTTATAACCTTACAAATTAATAACCTTATCAATTAATTTGTAGATTATATACCGCTTCCCAGAGTTTTGTGAACCAACATGTTTCAAGACCCTTGATGTAAACTGCACAATATTTCATATAACTTGTCAACAGGGCATACAGGTAGGTTCGAATCAATTTTTATAAGTTGCAATATGGGATTAGCGGGTGTTCCAAGGTCACGTAAAGCAAACGTCTTTTTGGC